TGTGTGTGAGTGTGTGTCCCCCCCCGCCAAGTCCGGTGTGGCGGCTGGGGGGACGGCGGGGGGATGGGGGCTCATCCCCCCCAACCCCGAGCACACAGAGAGCAGCCGGGTTGGAGATGAGAGGCGCTGGGGTGGGGGGTGGCGGGGAGGGGGATCAGGACCCCCCCCCTCTGCATATAGGGGGGCCAGCACCCCCCGTTCCTCGCTGGGGTGGCCCCGGAGGGGGGGGCCGCGGCCGTTCATGCTCTCCAGAGGAGGAGGTGGTTGGTGCTGTCGTCCCGGCCCACCGTCTCGCTGCTGCTGGTCAGGCGGAAATCCTCGTAGCCGTCCCCCCCGCTGATCACCAGCATCTTGGGTTTGGAGAGGGCGAGGGTGGGGGCACGAGGGCGCGAGGGGTCTCGCTTCTCTGCCTCGCTCGGCTTCTCGGCCCCTGCCAAGTGCAGAACCCACACAGGCTGTCAGATGGTCCCCCTGTGGCTCCCCTGTTCCCCAGCAGCATCCCAGAGCATCTTCCCAGTTTTATCCCAGCATCGTCCCACCATCATCCCACCAACATCACCCCAGCATCATCCCAACATCATCCCAGCATCTTTCCACCAACATCATCCCAGTATCAACCCACCAACATCCATCCCAGTATTATTCCACCAACATCATCCCAGTATCATCCCACCAACATCATGCCAGCATCATCCTAACATAATCCCAGCATCATTCCAGAATCATCCCACCAATATCCCCCCAGTATCACTCACTAACATCATACCAATATCATCCCAGTATTATCCCACCGACATCATCCCATCAACATCATCCTCCCACCAGTATCATTCCACCAGCATCATCCTACCAGCATGCCCCCAGCATCATCCCAACATCATCCCACCAGTATCATCCCAGCATCCTCCCACCAGCATCCTCCAAACATCACCACCACTTGCCCAGTTGCCACATCTTGGACACCCAAAACTCTTCATACCCCCAAAATTAGCCCCTCCCACCCACATTACCACCCATCAACCCCCCCTCCCCATCGCTGCCTTCTCCCCGTCCCACCCCGATCTCAGAGCTGGGCTGGGCGACACCCAGCACACGGCTTGCTGGTGCCATTTCCCTGTGGGAATTAGGGTCTCCCTGGATGGGGGATAGCACCCAATTTCTTCCCACCCTGATTTTTCTCCCTGGATTTTAACAAGGCAAGGATGGAGCGGGGACTCCGGTGACCACATTTCAAGTCTATTCCCGGTTATCAGTCCGGGGGACGCCGGAGCGGGTCAGGATTGGGCCCCCCCATCATCCCACCTACCCGTCTCCCTCGGCAATGGGAAGAGGACGTCGAAACCATCAGGCAGCTCGATGGCAGTGAGGAAACGGACGTGGCCAGTGTGACCCTGGGACAGCCCCACCAAGGCCGGGGTCATCTTGGCTGAGACGGCGAGGGTCAGCACCACGCCGGCGCTGGTCCCGATCCACAGCAAATCCTTGCACGCCAGGAGAGCCGTGATCCGCAGGCAGGCTGCCTTGTGCTGCCGGATAATGGCATCCGAGCCTGTCGAGTATCCCAGCCATCAGCATTTTACCCTGCCCGGCACGGGGCTGTGAACCCCGCCGTTGCCACTGGTCTCTGTTCCCGGGGGTATCTGCGGCACGTGGGATGTGGGAAAGGGACCCCACAATCCCCCTGGCCGGTATAAAGCACCCCGGGGTGCCGTCAGATTGGGCTGCCCGATTATGGGATGATGCAGCCACCCAGGGGCTGCTCTGTTTCTGCGGGGGATTATGAAGATGCTCAGGGGTGCCCTAATCCTGTGTAGGATTATGAAGCCACCCAGGGGTTGCCCTGTTTCTGCGTGGGATTATCAAAATGTCCAGGGGTGCCCTAATCCTTTTGTGGGATTATGCACATGACCAGGGGCTACCCTGTTTCTGCGTGGGATTATTCATCTGCCCAGGGGCTGCCCTATTTTCCCCATGGGATTAAGAAAATGCCCAGCGGTTGCCCTGTTTCTGCATGGGATTAGGAAAATGCCCAGGGGTGCCCTAATCCTTTGTGGGATTACGAAGGTGTCCAGGGGTTGCCCTAATCCTTCCTGGGATTATGCAGCCGTCCAGGGGTTGCCCTGTTTTTGCGTGGGATTATGAAAATATCCAGGGGTGCCTTTTGCGTGGGATTATCCACCTGCGCAGGGGCTGCCCTATTTCCCCGTGAGATTATGCAGCTGCACGACACAGAGGACAAACCCCATGAGTGCAAGGAGTCAGATTTCCTTCCCCAAAAACTAGTCGGGATGCGGGATATTAAGTTTCCCAGTGCTGGATGCCGCGGGGCATCACATTTTTAAGGCGGATGATGGCTGCAGGTACCCACTGGTGACAGCGATGGGCACCCACTGGAGACGTGTCACCAGTGGGACTTACCAGCGAGCATCTTGTGTACCGGGGGAGTGATATCAGCTTCGGTCAACTGCTCGTAGCTGGTGGCGTGGTAGAGCCGGACCTGGGCGCTGCTCTGCAGCGCGACCCACACGCCAGTCCCTGCGCTCACCATACAGGTGACGCTGCGCCCGCTGTCCTGTCCCACCTGGAGCGTGTGCTGTGGGTGACAAGAGCAACAGTGATGCCACCGATGCCCGTCACCGTCCCCCCGACCTCCCGCCATCGCCCACAGTACCTCTTGCGCCAACGTGGTGGTATTGAGGACAATGACGCGGTTTTGGCAGCCGCACCAGAGCTTCCCTGCCACCGCCACCATCTTGGTGATGGGGCTCCCCGGTGAGCCCAGGGACAGCGACTTGGAGTTTTGGGGATCCCAGAAGCGGCCTGTGAGGGTGGTGGGAGAGGGATGGGTAAAGCGTCCCCCAAAAAGCCCCATCTTGACCCGGCTGATGGGATGCAGTGGTTGGAGGTGCCTGTCTCCAGGTCCCCTCTTAGAAGGGACATGAGCTGATGTCCCCAGAGGATGCCAGTGGCAGGCAGGGACCAGGAGGAGGATGCACACTTCCAGCTGGCTCCAACTTTGGGGTCTCCAGCACCCCTCAAGGGATGTCCCTTCCCTTCCTGTAGAGGCAGGGAAGCCAGCAGCACCCCACGCATCCCTCCCCAGGGGGGTGCCCAAGCCACCCACCCGACAGCCACCACTCTGGGGCTGCATTTAACCCCCTCAGCACCCTTCGATGTCCCCAGTCCGGCCTCACCTGCCTCCCGCTGATACACAACGAGCTCCCCGTTGGCCAATGACACGAAAACCTGGTTATCCAGGTACCTACGGGGAGAAAAACCTTTTGACAACCAGCTGCAAAGCTCTGCTCAGCCACACCAAATCACCCTTCCATGGACATCTCGGAGCCAAAATCCCCCTTCCCCACTTACAAGATGCACATGACGGCGGCGGCGTGTTGCATCTTCATGCTGTTCTTCCTGTTACGGATGTTGTCTGAGGACTGGTACACGTGGATGCTGCAGCAGAGGAGAAGTTTGAGGCTCACCTGGGATCGGGATCCACCCCACGTATGTGTCCCCCCATCCTGGGGACGTACCACCCATCCTCGGTGCCCAACCACATGGAGCTTTGATGGGCTTCAGGGTCAAGGCTGAGGAGGTCCTCGAGGCTGCCCCGGGTGAAGGAGCCACGGCTGGAGCGGCGCAGGGCTCGCCCGTCTGTGGGGCTCTCGCCGTGCCGGTTTTGGCCGTAGGTGCCAGTGATGGGCATGAAGCCGGGTTCCTGCTCTTCCTCTGAGCTCGTTGTCTCCGCCGTTGCCTCCTTGCAGCTTGGGATCTCTTCATCTGTGGAAGAGGAGGAGGAGGAAGGAATGGGTCAGCCCAGGACCACCCGACATCCACTGAAGTGATGAGGAAGAGACCACAGGTCCCCTTGCGATGTCAAGACATTGGGATGTTGAGCACCAAAACCCACACCAGGTTTTACCCAAAGCCACCAGCCCCATCCCAACACCACCATGTTGAGCTGATGCCCTCCAACAACTCTTTTCCCAGGATCAACTTGGCCCAAAAGCCTCCACCTGCAGATTTCCCCAAGGAACGCAAAGCAGAGCAGCCAAAACGACAGAGCTACCCATCATTTTGGGGCCAAAAAGTGGCTTTTTTGCTAAGCAAGGACTCACTGCCGAAGCTGGAGGAGATGGTGGAGTGGCTGGCTTGGCTCTGCAGCGTCCCCGAGGGACTGGGCGAGGATTCATCATCTGTGTCATCGCTGTCAAAGGGTACCAGCTCCCTGTTGCCACCGTCGACCGGCTCCGAGAGTTCCAGCGACGAACCCGAGATGGAGATGTGCAGGCATGGCTGCGGCCCCGCGTCCTCCGGCTGCGCCGGCATCGGCTCTGAGGAGGGGCTGCCCACCGGCTCGGCACGCTCCCTGCCGCGACGAGGGAAAGGGGGGGGAAAGAAGCAGCTCCAGCATCGCCCCGTGCCCGCCGGCGCCACGGTGCCAGTGGGAATGTCCTACCTATACACCCGTTTGAGACCGGGCACGGAGGCGATGCAGAGGATCCTGGCGGAGCAGACGGCGATGCACGCCTCCACCGTGGGCTCCTTACGGACGCTGAGCAAACAAACCTGCCCCACGTAACCGTCGCTGTTGCAAACCCAAACCTCGTGGGAGCTTTCTGGGCTGCCGTGGCTGGGAGAAGCACAAGAAAA